GAGGCGCACACTCAACATCATCAATGCTACCATTAAAATATCATCGTGACACGATTCTTTGAAGCGAATCAAACGGACTCGAAGGGAATCTATGTCAATGCGAGCCACTTGTATTGATTGCTACCACGATTTTGTATCGATAACTTGTTACATTTTGAAGCGTAATGTTAATAAAGCTCCTCTTCTAACGTTGCGCTTCGTCACTTCGTCAAAACCTCGTGGGCTTCTATCGCCTCGGAAGTCCATTTCAATTTCGCACCACTATCGCCTAAACACATATTAAATTGTTAACAGTCGTGGGCAGCTTCCAGGGACGTTTACCAATTCAATTACCTTTAGCAGAGATGTATGTGATAATATTGTTCTCAAAGTATTATGCAACGCAAAGAGAAAATAAAATTCTATAAGCAACCAGTTTACTCTTCTACAGGTGCCATGGGCCACAGTCGTCGTCCATGTCGTGCTGGACGAATTGTTGCGGCTTAATCGATGGTATGATCGCAGGTATGATCATCGTCGTATGACGCATGGCTGATGTCAGGTAGCACTTGCTCGTCCGTCGCCACGTCTTCTTCATCTGCTGCTTCCTGGAGACCAATGTACAGCTGTACTCCCGCAATTCGGTGAGTCGTCGTTACGATGCTGCAATACACCCAGGGATTGTTGTAACGTGAGGCTTTCAAAGGTAGTCTTCAACCGCTCCAGTACCTCACCGAACGAGGTATTTACGAAGTACTACCTCTGTCCGTAAATGATTGCAACAATCAGTCTATTTTGAAGATGAAAGCCTTGACAGATGAGTATTTTGAATCCAAATATATGAACAGAAGGGAGAGAGAGCTGAATACCAATCAAACACGTTCGCACCAGAATTCATCCAATTAAATCATCTACGTTGGATTGGATCAAGTTCACTCTACCCAATAAAAGAAGTGCTCCTTTTTTGTTATTTTCAAATTCAACTATTATCCGGATGCACGGATAGCGATAATCCAGGTATTATCCGTATGATGTGCTCAGAGATGACCTTGATTCAACAATGCGCGCCAAAAAGAACCTGAGCGACAATGATCGGCGAGCCATCATACCGCAGCTAATGGCAGACATGGTCGACGACAAGAAGCTCATTCACGGAGCTCTCAACAAAATCGCTCTAGAGTTCGGAGTTCACAGAGGCACTTTGCAAAGGGTGTGGAAACGAGGATGTGCCGATCTCAACTACGATACGGCCATGCGTAGACGTGTCATCGAGAATAAAAGGCCACAGCGGTCGGAACCTCAAAGCCAGAATGTCGCCGAACGCATGAATACCCAAAGCATCGCGAACGACCTTTCGTTCTACTGTAGATATACTGAAGATTTGAATGTGCGCATATAATTATTTCGCGGACTGTATCGCCGCAGCAATGGGTATGCCGCGGTCCACCCTCCATGCTTACTACCGACGAGGTATATTTGTGAAGTACACAAGCTCCGTGCGCCCAACACTAACAAACGCCAACTAAGTCGCTCGTACATGCTGGGCAATGGGACACATCCACGCCACCTCGGGAAACGAATATGCTTTCGACGACATGATGAACTATGTTCATGTGGACGAGAAGTGGTTCTACGCCACGCGAGTCAAACGGTCATACTATCTTGCTCCTGGCGAGGAACCGCCACATCGCACGTGCAAGTCCAAGCGCTTTATCACCAAGGTGATGTTCCTGTCTGCTGTCGCCCGCCCAAGGTGGATTGAAGAGACCAATTCTTGGTTTGACGGATAGATCGGTACCTGGCACTTTATAGCTCAAGTTCCTGCGGCGAGGTCGAGCCGGAACCGTCCTGCTGGTGCAAGGCAGACTGTACCTGTCAGTGTCACCCGCTCAGTGTACAAGGCCATGATCTTGGAGAAGGTGATCCCCGCTATCAAAGCCAAATGGCCATCAGAACGCAGCAAGACAATTGTCATTCAACAGGACAATGCAAGACCCCATGTACCTCCAAGTGATGCGGAAATTGTTGCAGCCTGTTGTAGCGATGGTTGGTCCATCGAGTCAAGTGCCAACCTCCCAACTCTCCAGATTTCAACGTTTTGGACCTTGGATTTTTCCGAACGATTCAATCCTTGCAAGAGAAGAACTGGTCGCGATGCATCGACGACATTATTGCCGCGCCGGAGCGTGCTTGGGCTGACGTGGACATGCAAACATTGACCAACAATTTTCTGACCCTACAAACCTGCATGCGCGAAGCCATCTGTGTTCAAGGAAACAACAAATACAAGATCCCCCACTCTGGCAAGGCAAAGTTGTTGACACGTGGATTGTTGCCACAAGTTCTCACTGTTGATCGTGACATCGTTGAAGCAGGGCTCCAGCAGTTGGATGAGACTGACGTCAGTGCGAAGTTCGAGGAACTGGCAGTAGAAGTTCTGAAGCCCTGGAGATGTGTGATTTTAGCTCCCAGCTGGAAAAACTCATTGTTAGCGACGAGCTTCAGGAGGAATCTTGTGTTGAATTGGCCCAGCTATTGGACTTGAGCAACTTGCTTTGAATACATATTTGTCTGTATTTCAATGTGATATTTTTTAAAATTAGTATTGTTGCAATCATTCATGAACTTCAATATATTCAATTGTTGCAATCTTTTTCGGACAGAGGTAGTATTGACGACCAACCTCACCTTTCACAATGGCCCAAATCAATTCGATAGGTTGCAAATCCAAATGATACGGTGGTGTGAACACAACAGTATGTCCTCGCAATTCAGCTATGGCCACCACAACAGGTACGATGTTGCTCTCGATGTGCTTGAAACGTTTTTTCCCATATTCTGGAGGTTGCCAGGGTACAGTCCGACCCAAAACTATAGACGCACCCTGAAATTCTCGAGTTGGAGACTTCACCAGCCCATTTAGATAGAACCTCCTGGAACAACAGCATTCGATGACTCCTAAAGGGCTGCTCCAGAGAGCATTTCCTCACCACATCCACCGAACTAGCACAATGTTCACTTTTCAAGTTTGGTGGTGACCCAAAAATATAGACGCAGTTTCAATTATGACACTACTTATCAATGCACTGGCCACGGCGAAGAATAACCTGAGCCAATCGAGTTGGCATGCCTTCAACTAAGTGCCGCAAGTACTCTTGGTCGATTTCGTTCCATGAACGGATGATTTGGGCCTTCAGACTTGCCTTGTCTTCGAACTGGCGACCATTGGCATAGACAAGCCTCGCCAAAACACCCCAAACGTTTTCAATGGGGTTGAGGTCGGGGCTTTTCGACGGCCAGTCCATAACTGGCCACGGCAGAGCCTTCAGCCACGCCATTGTTTCTCTTGACGTGTGGATACTGGCATTGTCTTGCTGAAACATAGCCTTGCCTTCTTGCGAGGCCGCACAGATTTCACGCATTGCAGGGATCATGAACCCGCGAAGGGTATCCTTGTACTTGGCGGAGTCTTGGCGACCTTCCAAGAAGGCAAGGCTAGTCTTGTTGTGGAAGCTAAAGCCTCCCCAGACAAAAACCGAGCCTCCACCAGAAGCACGCTTCGAGTACGTCTCAACCTCGGTCCTGAGGTCATGCCAATAGTATTGGCAACCGTCAGGACCATCGAGGTTGAACTTCTTTTCGTCCGAAAAGAGCGTAGATTTCATCGCTTCAAACTTGTGGAGGTTCTTGGACGCGAAATCGACACGGGCCTTCTTGTGCGCTGGTGTGAGGCGGGGACTCGACCGGCGTTTCATGTACTTGGCGAATTTGGACATATTAAGCACACGAAGTACGGTAGATCGTGTTACTTTACCATCTAGGGCTGCTGCAATCTGC